TTTTACTGAAACTTCTTGTTCTGTGAAAACTTTACTACCTAGTGCATTATGTAATTATTTAGTGTAACTTCATTCTCACATATTGGAACATTAATATCTTGAAATGATATATGTTATCATTTTATAGGAATCTTATTTTAGTAGTTAGTATTGCCACATCTGTTGATGTACAGGATAATCACTTATTTATATTATGATATTATAGGTCATCTCTTTACTTAACAACTTTAACTTTGTTGTTGGTTACGTTTACTATGATGAATTCTAATTCTTATGTTAGATTTGCAATATCAGCATCAAAATTCAACTTTGTATTGATTAATATTTATAAAACATACACAACCATAGCTTTCAAAGGATATTTTTCCAAATTGTCCCTGTTCTTACTTCAAAATGACCTTATATACAATTTGTTAACACTCTTTTTATAATCGACAAAATTATTCCTCTTATTTAGAATAAATAATTATATTTCCACTTGTCTGACAAAGTTGGCAGGATATGACTGTAACACACTGACAAAAACAATAACCAGCCTTATAGAGTATCATAAGCCTCAAGTCTTTCGTATTTAATTATGAAAACAATAATAGGTTTTTGCTTTTAAATAAAGAATAGTTCTCTTAAAATTAATTGAACATACCTTAATAAATTAGATCTGTAAAATTAGAGATTAAACTTTGTCGCTTTTTTGCAAAAGTAGAGTTTTAAATTAATAAGCTAATATTTATAAATACTCTCAAATAGTAAATTTTAGCTGTAGATGTCAAGACAAAGGTACTATTAATATTTATACATTTGTGTTAGTAGAAATATCAAATATCTCTTTTCTGTTAGAAAATTTTTTTTATATCTTTTATTTCTGTTTGTTCTTACTAAAAATGGAAGTTCAAAATAAGAAATATTTCTCTTAAATTTTTAGAACATTTTAATACAATTATTATTCACAGAAATTAGATTTGATAATAAAATGGCTTTTTGTTGTGAATAATCAACCCTATTTTCAATATCATTCTATATTGATCTAAACATGAAGAAAATCACAGATTTCATTTGAATTTCAAAGTCATTTTGTAAATGATTATTTACATAAAGTGTTAATATCTATATCGAGTCTAGATAGTGAAGCACTTTTTCTAAAATAGATATTTTTAAAGTAAAGCTTTCATTAATCAAGTTAATGTTGACTGAAATTCTACAAGGTGAAATATTTATCTTATTATATATGTATATAAACTTTTTCTGAAATTAAATATCTCTCTCAGATGAAGAATTATGCAATCAGGCATTACTTATTTTCCACTTCCAAAGAAGAAATAGTTATCATAACTTTTGAGTTAAGTAAACATTTGCAATTAATAATAAATTAACAATACTTAATTTATATTGTATAATTTAATGGCTATTTAATAATTATCAATTTTATTTCTATATAAGTTCATTTTCTAAAATTAAGCAACCTTTTTGTTTGAATAATGATCGCAAATCATATCCTTTATAATCAACAAACTCTCCTTTCAATATTAAAGCTCCTTAAGCTTCTAAATTTGGATTCTATTAAATTTTTAAAATTGTAATATAAGTGGTAGCTAAGAATAGTGAAAAATAAATACCACTTTGAAGAACATTATTTGAAATTATTAAAGGGTTAAATTTTGCTAGTACATCTTTATAACGATTATCTGAAGGTATAATTTGTTGTCCTATCTTAACATCCCATAAACGGATAGAGCTATCTACACTTCCAGATGCTAAAGTAGTACCATCAGGAGAGAAATTGACTGATAGAATTCCTTATGAATGACCATATAATTTGGCTTTTTATTATCTTGTCTTAACATCCCATAAACGGATAGACTTATCTTAACTACTAGATGCTAACGTAGTACCATCAGGAGAGAATATGACTGACATTACATCACCTGAATGACCATCTAGTTTGTCTATTAATTATCCTGCCTTAAGGTCCCATAAACTAATAGACCTATCCCAACTACCAGATGCTAATGTAGTACCATCAGGAGAAAAATTGACTGAATAGACTGTTCCAGAATGACCATCTAATTTGGCTTTTTATTATCCTGTCTTAGCGTTCCATATAAGGATGGAGTTATCATCACTACCAGATGCTAATGTAGTACCATCAGGAGAGTAATTGACTGAATAAACTGTTCCAGAATGACCATCTAATTTGGCTTTTTATTCTCCTGTCTTAACATCCCATAAACGTATAGACTTATCATCGCTACCAGATGCTAATATAGTGCCATCAGGAGAAAAATTGACTGACATAACATTATCAGAATGCCCATCTAATTTGGCTTTTTATTATCCTGTCTTAACATCCCATAAACGGATAGAGTTATCTCCACTTCCAGATGCTAATATAATACCATCAGGAGAGAAATTGACTGACAAGACTTTATGTGAATGTCCATTTAATTCGGCTTATTATTATCCTGTCTTAGCGTTCCATACACGGATAGAGTTATCATCACTACCAGATGCTAATGTAATACCATCAGGAGAGAAATTGACTGAATAAACTGTTTTAGAATGACTATCTAATTTGGCTTTTTGTTTTCCTGTCTTAACATCCCATAAACGGATAGACTTATCATCACTACCAGATGCTAGTGTAGTACCATCGGGAGAAAAATTGGCTGACATAATTCTATCTGAATGACCATCTAATTTTGCTTTTTATTATTCTGTCTTAACATCCCATAAACGGATAGATTTATCATCACTACCAGAGGCTAATGTTGTACCATCAGGAGAGAAATTAACTGACATAACATTACCAAAATGACCATCTAATTTGGCTTTTTATTATCCTGTCTTAACATCCCATAAACGGATAGACATATCATCACTACCAGATGCTAATGTATTTCCATCAGGAGAGAAATTAACTGACCATACTTTATTTGAATGGCCATCTAATCTAGCTTTTTATTATCCTGTTTCAACATCCCATAAACGGATAGAGTTATCTGAACTACCAGATGCTAATTTAGTACCATCAGGAGAGTAATTGACTGAATAAACATTACCTTTAAAACCATCAAATTTTGCTTTTTCTAATCCTGTCTTAACATTCCATAAATGTATAGAGTTACCTGATCCAGATGCTAATGTAGTACCATCAGGAGAGAAACATACTTACAGAATTCCTTTTGAATGACCATCTAATTTGGCTTTAAGTTATCCTGTCTTAACTTCCCATAAACAAATAGAGTTATTCGAACACTCTGATGCTAATATAGTGCTATCAGGAGAGAAACAAAATAAATTAACACAATTTTCATTATTTTCTAATTTTAACTTTTATTAACCTATCTTAATATCCCATAAACTGATAGAGTTATCATAACCAATAGATGCTAATGTAGTACCATCAGGAGATAAGCATATTTATAGAATTCCCTTTGACTAGCCTTCCTTTTAAACTGTCTTAACATCCCATAAATGGATAGACTTATCATCACCACTAGAAGCTAATTTAGTACCATCAGGAGAGAAGCATATTTATAGAATTCTCTCTGAATGACCATTTAATTTGCATTTTTATTATGTTGTCTTAACATCCCATAAATAGATAGAGTTATCATCAACACTAGATGCTAATGTATTACCATCAGGAGAGAAGCACAATTATAAAATTCTCGTTGAATAACAATGTAATTTTGCTTTTTATTATACTATCTTAACATCCCATAAATGGATAAAGTAATCATAACCACTAGATGCTAATGTAGTACCATCAGGAGAAAAGCATATTTACAGACATCCCTTATAAATACCATCTAATTTGGCTTTTTATTATTCTGTTTTAACATCCCATAAATGGATAGACCCATCATAACTAACAGATGCTAATATAGTACCATCTGGAGAGAAACATACATATGGAATTCCCGTTTTATGACCATCTAATTTTGCTTTTTATTATCCTGTCTTAACATCCCATAAGCGTATAGATGGATCATAACTACTAGATGCTAATATGAGACCATCTGGGGAGAAGCAGATTGAATGAATCGAACTCGAATGACCATCTAATTTGGCTTTTTATTATCCTGTCTTAACATCCCATAAACGGATAGAGTTATCTGAACTACCAGATGCTAATTTAGTACCATCAGGAGAGAAATTGACTGACAGAACATTACCAGAATGACCATCTAATTTAGCATTTTATTATCCTGTCTTAACATCCCATAACCGGATGGACTTATCATCACTACCAGAGGCTAATGTAGTACCATCAGGAGAAAAATTAACTGACCTTACATAATTCGAATGGCCATCCAATTTTGTAATTTATTTTTTTATTTTAACATTCCATAATTGCACAAGTTTTCCACAGCTTAAAGCTAATGTATTATTATTAGGTGAGAAACATACTGATTATCCCACTTTCTTTTCTTTTATTTTAGACATTATTTTCCCTTTTTTCACAATCCACAAACAAATTGATTAATCCTGACTGCAAGAAGCTAATGACTTACCATCAGGAGAAAAGCAAACTTAATTGACTCTGCCACTGTGACCATTTAATTAATTTCCCTCATTTATACCTAAACCCCTCCACTTACAATTAAATAGTTTGGCTTAATTCAAATTTATACCAGTAATAATAACATTGTAAAACTCAGATTCGCTTAAGTCACATCTAACCAAGTTAGCTCCTATTATTGAAGTATTTATTATTCTAATATTATCAAAACATGATTCCTTCAAATCAACTTTCATTAAAACTAATAAATGAAGAGAATTTGATCCGCACTATATGAATCTCTCATCTTAAGCAGTAAGATGAACTAAAAATTTTAGGAATTCTATAATTTTCTCATCCCAAGATATTTTTATTATCAGAGTTTTCTTAATTTCTTCATATTCATCTATTGAGTAATTCTTTTAATTAAATTCATGATCCTTAAGATTTTTGAGAGCTTTTGCTATTCTCACAATGTTATTCTTTCCAATATTGACCATCTAATCCTTACCAAATAGTGATGAATTTTTTCCCTTTTATATTTCTTATTCTACTTACCTTGGACTTAAATTTTCTGAGAGAAAATCCAAGCAGTCTAAAATTTTATCTCTTCTCAATATTTTAGTTAGGATAGGGAAGGCTACTTCATCAACATCTTTAGATAAAGCTAAAACTCCATACAAATCCCCAATCGATTCTATTTGGCAATTCATTTTCTTTTCTTTTTTATTTATTGAATTTCTAAAAACTCTTATTTTGAGTTTTATACTATGAATCTAAAATGTATCTTGCACATTTTTGTTTGGAAGAATGTAATATTGCAAAGATTTAGAGTTTATATAAATTATACTAGCGAAAAACTCATATAGACCTATACATAACTGAATTCTTAAAGAATATAGAATAAAAATAAACAAATTTTTAATAACACTAATATATTACTTTTATAATTGAGGATTTTTGATATTAAATACGATTGTAAATATTAGATAAAAAATGTCTATATTATGCTGTCTATGTTGGGACTCAGAAGAGGGGGATCTAATCTGACTTATCATATCTGAAATCCTTTGATTTAAAAAAGTTGATAATCAGACTTAAAAAATGACTCACAGGGAGTTGGTAAATCCCCAATACACTAGATAGATATCACTTCTCTATGTTATATCTCTCTCTTTTAACGAGAACGAAAAAAATCCCCGACAGCGAATTCCGAAGACCTTCTATCCCAAATTTCTTTTTTGTTGCTAGCTCACTATGTAAAATTTATCTCCAAATGCATTTTATTGTTTTAGCTTATTAGGAAAATTGTGGAAGCTCGACTGTTTTGCTTGACTCGTTCTGCCTGTTGCGGTGCACTTGCCTAATCTTCTAGCTTAGACCTCCCATCCAGCCGTTGTGGTGTGCTTTCCCAATCTTCTAGCCTATATCTTTGTCCAGCCGTTGACAGTAGCCCAATCTTCTAGCCTAGATCTCCAACCAGTTATTGAAGTAATAATGTTACTTGACTGTGGACTGGTATTTCATCAAACCATTAAATAAGGGAATTTTCAAGATTGAAAATTCAACTATGGAATAATAAAGAATAAATCTATTAGTGATAAAGTATCGATTGGTTCTCAATATAAATTGAAATAAAAGGAATGTAAAATTGATTTCAATGACTTGCTTCATATTGGTAAAAATTTTATTTCTAAAGCTCTAAATTTAGCTTTAAACTTTTAACCTCATGTTTCAGATTCTTGATATGGATCAAAAATTATTATAAAATATAAATAATACTTTCTTTAATTTTTTATAACATCAAGTATTGTACGATCAAAATTAGCTAAAGAATGATATTATTAAATATTATTTTAGAAATGGATTGGCTTTAAAATGGCAACTAAGTAAAAAGGTCTTTGTAACAATATTTTGAGATGAATCTCATTTTGCTGTTTTAACATCCCATAAACGGATATAGATGTTGAGGCTTGGGAAATTCGTATTTCGGCCTTAGTCTTGGGAAAATATTCATATTCCGACCGTCTTGGCTAGGAAAATCCAACTCGTATCCTGCTGAGGAAAATCACTCTTATTCCGGCTGTCGGGGCTGAGGAAAATCATTCAATTTCCGATAATAATGGCTCGGAAAATCCAGCCATTCGTATTCTTGCCGTAGGGGCTTGGGAAACATTTGTATTCCGGCCATCGGTAACACGCCTATATTGGTGAATTTGAAATTTCCCAAATGAGCCCAGGAAATTCAATCTTCAATACCTGATAGTATTTTAAAACTTCTGAGAATATTTACTGTTAATCTTTTTAAAAGAAGTAAACTCCCTATGCCTTAACAATTATTTATTTCCCTTTCAATCCTTAATTCTAAAAAACCCAAATCCTAAAATCAATTTTACTAAGGCTTACTATTTTGCCTTAAATAATGAGCAGATTAATATCACTTAAAATCAATTATGGTCCAAAATTTACAAAAATGGTTCTTCAAGAAGTAATAAGTATGAAAGTTCTTTTAGGTAAAATTACTTATTATTGACTTAGATAACGATTACATTGATTTTTATTCTGAAGGCTAATTTTTAAATTTATGATTTTCATCGGAATTTCTACAATAGGAGAATCCATATTATGCATATAAGGTTTTAAATCATCATTCTCAATTCTTAAACTTGGAGTAAAAGAGAAAACAATTGATTTAACAGAAGTAATACCTCATTTCACTATAGAGATTTTAATATAATTATTAAAGAATTATTTTCTCCTTAATTTCAGAATTTTATTAATAACCTGCAGAATTAAATTAATTTAAATAAAAATGATATGTAAAGCATTTGACAATTACTCTTATTATTTAAACCTTTTTTGATTTTAAGCTGAAGGATATGAACTTGTTTTTAATTTAAATATTTTCCTTTAAGGATCATTCTAGATATTTGAGTTTTCAAAGCTAGATTTAGAATGTATTTCTAATTGATTGGATTATTCAAATTTATTTATTAATCAAAAAGTTTATCGCCATTTGGCAAGTTCACTTTAAGCTTTTGTTTTGTTTATCTTTATATAAAAATTGATTATTAGCGAATTCTATTTGAACATCTGTTAAATATCATTTATGTATTCGATTAATTTCTCAAACTTTTGCACCCTGTTGCCAGAATAACCACATAGATGATCCTTATACGATTCAAATTCATAAACTATCGAATGAATTTTGCATTTCCTCCATCCTACTATTCATGCTTTTCAAAATCACAGAATTCAAATCCTGAAATCCTTTTAATTTTGCAAGAATTCTTCTCTTTGGTTCCCTTTCTCTAGTTTCCCCCCACATCATCAATGAGGTCTCTGTCAGTAACCAGTAGAATGGCATCACTTCAAAATATTCGTCATCTTCGTCAGTAAGTTTTTGATCGTCTTTCTCATAATCTTATTAATGTTTTCACGTTTTCAAAGTGCCCTGCAACTTTCAAGTATCTCTTTTTTGTCAAAAAGTAATAATAAAGATCTATTCTCTTCCAATATGACTCTAGATTATTTATTAAAGTAACTTTTTTGCTTGAAAAAATTCAAGCTTCCTCATTAGTTGGTCTTTACTTCCTTTGGAAAGCTTTCTTTAAGACCAAGAAATCTTGTAACATTCAAAGTATTCCATTGTTGATTCCTAGATACTATAATCTTTAATTTCCTTGCTAACCAGCTACTCTTCATTGTGATAAAAACTAGACATGATAAAGGATTAGCAATGTTCCCTCTTGGTTTTGAGTTCAATTAAGATCTGATAATCATCTTAGAATCAGTTTAATCGATATTCTGAATCAGATTTATTGGATTTCTAATATGATTTTCATAACAAATGATTTCTATGTTTCTATTGATTCCAATATCTAGCTTGTCATTCATACTTTAAATTGATCCCCATTCCTCTCTTTGTTTACTTTTATGTTTTAGCTTCTGTAAATAAAGAGACTTTTGTATTGATGTACTAACTAGTGATAATATTTCTCTGATTATTATTATAGTAGGCCAACAAATATTTGACTTTAATAAAATTTACCTTATTAGCCCAGGAACAAAAGCTCTAATCAATCTTGAATTTAATCCACAAACTTGGAGCTTATCATGAATCTCAATTACGTCATTTTTGGAGGATTTTTATTCTCCAAATTTTCTTAATTAATTACAGATGCTTTTGTGGTCTCATCCTTTCATGATTGATCCCTCACGTTGCTAGAAGTACCAATTAACTGAAGAAGGGATTGATTTTATTGAGAGAATTGATTAATTGAAATTGCTCATTTTTATTTTCCTAAGTATCATTTATTCTTTCTATATGGGATCTATAGTTCAAGTATCCAATGCAAACTGTTTTTATAAACTACATAAATTGAAAGGAAGAATAATTGGGTGTTGTTTATAAGGACATTCATCCATTTTGTTGGATTAATGACAGTTCATTAGCTAGGCAGCTGAGCCTACCGTATAGGCTTGTCTAAGTCGATTGATAAGAATTTTCTATATCTATTTGCTAAAACAAATTACCAATCCATCTCATAAAAATGGATGCATCTTATGTTTAAAGAAAATTACTGAAGATAGTACTGGAGATTACTTGAAAAACATCTAACCAACCATTCTACCATTCTTGGTAATACAGTTTTAAATTCTTCTTCAATTTTTCATAGGTATACTGTTATTTAAATGAATGTTTACAATTAGTATTTTAGATTTGATGACAGATTATTGAATTGTTTCCAGTGTAATTTTAAGTTTAAAAATTGTTTTTAAAAAGAACATATTATTAATTATTTTCATTTCATACTCTATTCTTTATTCCTAACCAGGAGCTCTTTTTCAATCGAGGTCCGTAATTTATTACGGAATGGTTTACTGTTCCTATAAACTTAATATTTTGTTATGTATATAAAAAAGTATCAATGAATATTTTATAACTAAATTGAATAAGCTTGTATCGACTTCAAATGTAAACTACAATATTCAGGTCAAAATAAGCTTAAGATTCTTTGGGTTAATTTAGAAAGTATTGCTTTTCCCCTCTTTACCCAAAAAGATTTCTTGTCACTGCCAAGCCAAAAATATTTAGGGGAAAATCACTATTAGTTATAGNACTAGACATGATAAAGGATTAGCAATGTTCCCTCTTGGTTTTGAGTTCAATTAAGATCTGATAATCATCTTAGAATCAGTTTAATCGATATTCTGAATCAGATTTATTGGATTTCTAATATGATTTTCATAACAAATGATTTCTATGTTTCTATTGATTCCAATATCTAGCTTGTCATTCATACTTTAAATTGATCCCCATTCCTCTCTTTGTTTACTTTTATGTTTTAGCTTCTGTAAATAAAGAGACTTTTGTATTGATGTACTAACTAGTGATAATATTTCTCTGATTATTATTATAGTAGGCCAACAAATATTTGACTTTAATAAAATTTACCTTATTAGCCCAGGAACAAAAGCTCTAATCAATCTTGAATTTAATCCACAAACTTGGAGCTTATCATGAATCTCAATTACGTCATTTTTGGAGGATTTTTATTCTCCAAATTTTCTTAATTAATTACAGATGCTTTTGTGGTCTCATCCTTTCATGATTGATCCCTCACGTTGCTAGAAGTACCAATTAACTGAAGAAGGGATTGATTTTATTGAGAGAATTGATTAATTGAAATTGCTCATTTTTATTTTCCTAAGTATCATTTATTCTTTCTATATGGGATCTATAGTTCAAGTATCCAATGCAAACTGTTTTTATAAACTACATAAATTGAAAGGAAGAATAATTGGGTGTTGTTTATAAGGACATTCATCCATTTTGTTGGATTAATGACAGTTCATTAGCTAGGCAGCTGAGCCTACCGTATAGGCTTGTCTAAGTCGATTGATAAGAATTTTCTATATCTATTTGCTAAAACAAATTACCAATCCATCTCATAAAAATGGATGCATCTTATGTTTAAAGAAAATTACTGAAGATAGTACTGGAGATTACTTGAAAAACATCTAACCAACCATTCTACCATTCTTGGTAATACAGTTTTAAATTCTTCTTCAATTTTTCATAGGTATACTGTTATTTAAATGAATGTTTACAATTAGTATTTTAGATTTGATGACAGATTATTGAATTGTTTCCAGTGTAATTTTAAGTTTAAAAATTGTTTTTAAAAAGAACATATTATTAATTATTTTCATTTCATACTCTATTCTTTATTCCTAACCAGGAGCTCTTTTTCAATCGAGGTCCGTAATTTATTACGGAATGGTTTACTGTTCCTATAAACTTAATATTTTGTTATGTATATAAAAAAGTATCAATGAATATTTTATAACTAAATTGAATAAGCTTGTATCGACTTCAAATGTAAACTACAATATTCAGGTCAAAATAAGCTTAAGATTCTTTGGGTTAATTTAGAAAGTATTGCTTTTCCCCTCTTTACCCAAAAAGATTTC